CTTCGCTGAAGTGTGTTCATGCAAAAGTTTGGCTTTTCGAGCTCAAAGGTTTATTTCCTTGGAGCAAATATTTTCTTGCTGTTCTTAGAAATTTAGTTAATTCATTAATTTCTTACTAAATGTACAAATACTCAAGTCATGATATTTTCAGTTTTTTCCCCTGAAAACTAGATTTTCAAATATATTTTCTTAAAAAAAAAAAACTAAAGCTCTTGTGGGATTTTGCAAAAGAAAGTTTGACAGAATAAACTAATTAATTACTATTTGCTGGAAGAGCCTGGCTGTTCATACCTTTATAATTTGGACTGCTCATACCTTTATATTACACTAGGAACTCCTTTGGGAGGTCTGTGGAGTGTGAAATTTGCAAGATTAAATATCTATAGATGATTCAACATTAAGACTGGATAAGCTTTAATGACATGTTAGAAACTGATAAAGGCTAACTCACTGTTATGATCCTTATTTTGGCCATATTTGTACTTGATGTGGGATCTCAACAATCCCCTTGACAAATGTACTCTTTGATGATTGCTTATCTTTTGCTTTTTGAGCCCCCGGTGAAAGGGAAGGTGGGGTTGAGTCGTAGACTAGTATGAATGTATATGATTAGTGAGCTGCCAGTACAACTAAATTTGTATCTGGTCTAGATGATGTTTCTATTTCAACCATAAGATACATATATTGATATATACGCACCCAACTTACATGCAGGTGCTTTTATGTTGCAAAGTCATACAGTGTGGCTGGAAAGAGGGCTGAAGCATATGCATTATATGGCCGTGCTCGCAATTTGGCTGATGATGCCTTAAGAAAGTTTCAAATGTTAGATGGTGATAATAAGGTAATTTTAATAATTTATTTTTAGTATCAGATAGGTGGATCTCACTGATCAATGCTTGCAATATTATTTGCAACTGCAATATTTTTTCAAATGATAACCTAGATCTGGTTGGGCACTAAAATTTGCTCTGTCTCATATTCCATTATAACTTACATAACTGCGAAATCAAATGTTATCAATGGGGGAAATATTAATTAATTAATTAAACATGGGTATATTGTATAATGATATCTAACTAGGCATAGATCCAAAGATGGCAATCCATCTGGCAATAGGAAAGAATCAAACAGAGGCCTTTTGTATAATGATCTCCAATCAGCTATAGATCTAAAGATGGTGATCTATTGTGCTTGTGGCTTGCTTAGGCAGATCAGTCTCATAAAAATAGTAATCTTTGGTTCTATGCTAGGTCATAGGAGTTAATTATACATGCGACCTTTGTTTATTTTTTTCTGCCAAACAAGTGATTTCACACAACTTCAGGATCTGGTCTGCATCTTCTTGCTATGAAAGTTAATCCCTTCACTTTGTTTATCCTTCTAAATTGAGAACATGCTTTGTATGTTGAAATTTATGACAGGAACTTAGTGGGTTAATGGTAGTTGTTTGACATTCATATTTTAGAATTTGGATTCTCTAAAGTGAACATTTTACAGGGAGAAGTGTAGAGTTATGCTTGATTAAAAATTCAACTATTGAGATTATAATAAAATACATACATATATAACAAATTACGAAGTTATTAACATTCACTCTGTTGATTTTCCAGTTAACAGTTATAATTCTGAACTTTTTTCTCTACACTAAACAGTTCACTTAAGGGTCCAATTTTCATTTTAACATTCATACCGATAATAGTCAAGCCCCTGGTTTGATTTGTTTGGTCTTTTTTTTTTCTTTTTTTTTCTTGTTTTTTGGTTTCACAGATTTTGATGAAAGAGTTAGAGGACTTGTACAATGAGTGCCGATCTAACAGTTGTATAGAGCATGCGCTGGGGATAATGGAGGAGAAGAGGACCCAAGAGAATCTATCTGAAAAGATCTCCAATATATCATTGACCGGAACTGAGCGGGTACATGTGTTTCTAGTTCTCATACAAGGTTTTTTTAGGTCATGATAATACATTATCATGACTCTATTAAATTAGTAATATCTCAGGAGTTAATAGTATTTGGATGAGCATTTATTGATCTATTCTGACATGTATACCTGTTACAGTTGGAGAAGTTCCTTCTTGAGAAACTTGATGTGTATGAGTCTGCCGTGGGTGATTCAAATGTGAAGTGTACACCACGCATTGCAGGCTTTCCCCCAGCTTTCCAGGCAATTTCCCGTAATCCTATTGTGCTGGATCTGGCTTATAACATGATCGAATTCCCATCTATTGAAAATAGGATGAAGAAGGATAGAAAAGCCAAGGGAGGCTTTATGAGTAGAATATTTGGATGAGTATATTTGATTAGGTTTTTGGTTCTTCAAATTGAATAATTGTTGACAACTGATGTGGTGGGTTTCTTTTATTGGATATTGTTATGAATTTTGAGATGTTATGTACAAATTTTGGGAGGTCTACATATTTGGAAATTTATAGTAGAGAGATTGTATGCGGTCACTACTTTTAGGGTAATGATTTTTAGGCATCCCATATTTTTAAACACTTTATCAACACTTCTCATTTATTTTTCTATCTCTCTTCTTATCACATCATCTATCACATTTATATTTTGCTCTCTCACTATGTTAAATACCATGTGGGTGTACAAAAATCATTTTTGCTACTTTTATTTTGCCGTAGGATTTGAAATAAGTAGTGAGGTTGTTACTTTTACTACTCTACAGAGCTTAGCTGTAGTTATAATTATAACACCCTCTTTGAGAAAAGCAAACAGGAGATTATATAGTTAGTTGCCTTTATATATTAGTACATAGCCACACACGATAGGTAAAAGTGCTACATTTTAGGAGGCGGGTCTTTGGAATTGTATGTTAAGCTGATAAGGTTCAAGATGCCAATGTCCTTTCCAACTAAGCTAGAAAATGGCGAGTAAAATTGAGTTCCTGTCACAATTTTTTCACATAACAAGGTTGTTTAACTTGACTGCGAGAAAAAGACAGTTATATAACTTTATAGTTTGGCCACTTAAGTATTATTGTAAGGAATCTGAAAGTACTCGCCCGTTCCTGCCCTAGTTGTGCTGTGCACGAACTTTGACCAAATGGAAGAATTGCGACATATCCAGGTTGATTTTACGTTTGCCATGCTAGAACATTCGCACACGCTACGTGTAGGTCTTGTATCCATTTTTTCCCAAATGTCATAATCAGTGACGGCTCCGTCAAGCATGCACCTAGCCTGTTTTAAGTAAAGTCTATTTTATTTTTTCCTCTAATTGGAATATTTCGAATTTCAGCTACAAGTTTTTTAATTCCATTGTTGACAAATGCAGTACATGTTTACGGTTAAGAATGTGATTTTATGTTGGAAAGCATTCACTTGGAATTAGTAGGAAATATTCCTCACTTAACCTTCCCACACCAACGAAATACACGGAGACATGGATCCTCTGCAGCTGGTTCCCCTACAGTCTCTAGGCTGTGAAAAAACAAACCGTTTTTTATAAAATGGTCTGGATCGGTTCAATTTAGTTATCTATGTCATACTCATATATGATTCAATCAATTGTTTTAAAAGAATCAAATCAAGTTATTCTGAGCTATTTTCACAAAGTAGTTTGATTTTTATTTCAAGACAATTTGGTGTTTATATTATAATTTTATTTGGTATTTCTACATACCTTGTTTTTGCTGAATGGTCTTGGCTAAGGGCCAAATACACAAACTAATTAAAAAACATCGAAAGGGCCATTTACAATCACGCATCGCATGATGAAGGGTCTCATCTGGCTCATTACACAATAAACATTTTGTATTAGCAGTCATGTTTCAACATACCTGTAACAGTCTCTTTATTTGTCTCCATGCCAGCATATATTTTCTCTCTCTTTTTCCTTTGTCTTTTTCCAGCCGCAGCGGTAGCACAGCAGCAGAGACTAATTTTAAAACTGATTTACGACCAAGACCCATTCTCAAAATCATTCATGATTTAGTTACATGATAATCCTAATCCACAAAGTGCATTGCAAATCGAGGTATTGCGACGCTGTTTTTCTCCTCGCTAAGAATTGCTGTATCAATTAAATAAAGAAAAAAATATAAATACCCATAAAAAAAGGACAAAACTTGGATGAAATATTTTATATATTTTTATTGTCTTTCAATCAAAATTGAGATTTTATTTTTATAATTTACAAAATAAAAGTTTGCGTCAAAGGTTGACATAAGATACTGAGGTGAAATTCTAAGGAGACAATATCAAAAGTACGATATCTAGGCTCTGTTTTTAAAAGAAATAGAAATGTTAAAAAATTACTGTCAGCTCTCTTAAAAAAATTAAATAATAATAATAATAATAATAATAATTATTATTATTATTATAATTGTCATCTATGAATTAACAACAATGAAAAATAGTACATTTACAATTAGTTGGTTGATTACTTTGTTACCTTTTTTTATTATTGAATTTGCAATTTTAGGAATAATTAAGAATTGTTCCTTATTATCCTTCTATAATTAATAACTAATTACAGAGACTAAAATATAACATTTGGTTTCTATAGAAACTAAAATATAAAAAATTTTAAGTATAGAGATTATAACAAAACAATGATGGAGATATATGGACGAAACAATTAATTAAACCTAAATATATATTATAATTAGGGTTGGTAATCGGAAGTATAACATTCGCATATAGTTACTCATAAAAAAAATCCATATATACTTTTGTGAATAATTACTGAACCCAAGCTCATTTAATTAATAAATATCGTTACAAATAATATTTACGGATATTCATTAAATTTTAGTCTGAATGCCGTCCTTAACTATGTAAGGTTATTTATTATATTTGTAGTAAACTTTCACTGCTTGAGCTGTGAAAAAAAAAAAAATTCACTGCTTGATCAAGATGAATACAGTAAGAATTTGTAATAGTTTCCCAGTTTAATGAATGGAGGAAGGATAATGCTCCCAATTTCACGTGTAGCATTAAAGATTAAAGAGTGAACCAATGGATGAATGAAAGCAACCCATTTTTAATGCAGCAGAGCAGAGGAAAGTGAGAAAACGGTGGATGCGCATATCTGAGAGCGAGAGGTGTCTGCTCTGCCCCGGGACAGGTCATAACGCCAGCGTCGTTTCGTAACACGCCAATGCCAACCAAAAAAGACACGTCGTTTTTGCCCTACCAATGAAAAAACAAATGGCGGGTGAAATTAAATTTTGAGTGAACGACAGACATGAAATATCGCAAACACTCTTAACCGTCTTCCTTCCAAGTCCCAACCTCCCTCCAAACGCGCTCCAAATATTATTATTTATTTTTCACTTTCCCTTTCTCTCTCTCTCTCTCTCTCTCTGTTTTCTCTTCCTTCCTTTCTCTCCAACCAACCGTTAGACACATAGCGATTCCTTTCTCTGCGAGGACCAACACGAACACGAAGATTTCTCGAAAATGCGTTTCGCAAATCTCGATGACACTCCAATGTTCCGCCAGCAGGTTCTCCTCTTATTCTTCCGTTTCGTTGTTTATAATTTCCCGTGGCGTCTTCGTTTGAATCTTTAATTGAACGATTGTGTTCGAACGGTGCCGTTTGTGCAGTGTACTCATTCTGCATCTCGCGATTTGTTTTACCTGTTTATGTTTAAATCGATGAAGACGTGTTGTATACTTGTATTGAAATAATGTACTAGTGTTGAGACTAGAGAATGTGTTTTGTGGTTGGTAGGGTAATATAATAGGTTGCTAAATTCATTGATAAATCGTGTGAATATTGTGGATGCAGCTCCAGTGTTTGGAGGAAAGTGCAGAATCGTTGCGCGTGAGATGCTGCAAGTTCTACAAAGGATGTCGAAAGTATACGTGAGTTTTCTTCGTATAAATCCCGTTGTAATTTGAATTTAGTTGCCTAGTTATATAGGATTGTTCTCTTAATAACTTTGGAATAAAGGTTAGAAGAGCGTCAAGTTTTAAGCACAACTAGATATTTACCGAAAAAGAAAGCACAACTAGATCCTCATTATCCTAATTAAGCACGTACTTCAATAAATAAATAGAAATGAAAAGTATCCTCGTTTGCTCTCACGCTTGATAAACTTCCTTTAGTTCATTCCATCTCTAGGAGCTACATGTTGAAACTTGAAACCTGCAAGAACTCATGATACTTGCGTCTCTCTGGAGGCCTGTTAGGATATAAGGAGAAGGGGGAGTTATTGACAGATAGAATATTGATTAGTTTAGTTAGTTGGGGGGTTAATGGGTTAAATAAAGAGGAGGTGGTAAGGGGAAAGGATTTCATTGTGACGGGTATCTTTTTTAAATTGAGCATTAGCTCTTTGTGAAGGGAAAACCCTTGGAGGAGAGATTGCTCTACTATTCCTTGTTCTTTTCTTTCTATTCAATAATATTCTGTCCTGTATTTTTCCCAATTCCTAATTAGGGGTTCCTGACAAGGTCCTTGACCTTAAATGCTCTCAGCTGAGCCACTAAACAGTTTAAAATAATTTATAGAAAGGGTATTGATGTTCAAGTTCTATGATGTTTCGATCTCTTGTTGAATACATGATGTTATTCAGACGACACTATAATTTTGTGTCTTGGGTTAGGTTGATGTGGTGACAAGCAAGCAAATGTGCCAAGAGGGAGTTACAACCTCATATTGAGATTTTTCTTATATCATCTTTCCATCCTAAAAAATTTCAAACAATCAAGTAGCTACAAACTCTTGTACTGCTTCATGGTTTCAGCAAAACACCTCAAAGCATATATAAAGTGTTTTTAAGCATATAATTTTGGTAAGTTTTCAAGTTTTGGATGTACAAATAAATATATGCTCGGACAAGGTGGATGCACTAGGTCTTGAGTTCACTAGTTGTATAAAATAGAGTAGGAACAGGGAAAGAAAGCTAATGTCTAATGGTTTTCGATTTTCGTGTTTTATGTGAACTGTTTAAGATTCTTTAAAAAAACAGTAGTTCTTATGCATGTATTGCAAATACCATAACAATTTGTGTTTGTGCCATGATATTTGATCTAATCAAGGAATACTTTTGACTGCTATAGCCACAGTTCTTGCATTCTTAAAAATTCTTGTTTCCTGGTATTTTTAACAATTTAGGGAAGGTCTTGGCGAGGCTTATGACGGGGACATTGCATTTGCAAGTGCCATAGAAAATTTTGGAGGAGGGCACAATGATCCTCATTTTGTTGCTTTGGGAGGTAAGCCTTATGGGTCTTTTCCCTCCCACTTGCCTTGTCTGTGATATGTTTAGTGAGAAGAAAAAACTGGAAATATGCTTATCTGAAGATTACTTGGGTTATATAAGCCCTAAACTGACATGAAAAATAGGCTGAATATAACAAATCCTAATGTTGCCGTGATACTTTTAAGCCAGGAAATAAGCTTCTAGAATCCCTTAGGAAATATGGTTGAAGTTGCTTCAGTATTCTAAAACATTTCTTGTTTTTTTATTCTTTGCTGTGCTTTTTTTAACCCATGTGCTTCCTATGAATGTACGTAATATACTGGATGCAGTCTCATTAAATGAAATTTTTATCTTGGCTATCGCTATTGATAATTTTTGTTTGGTATTCCCAGGACCTGTTATGACCAAATTTACTATAGCATTGAGAGAAATCAGTACATACAAGGAGCTGCTCCGGTCTCAAGTAATGATTTATCTAATGTTGTAATTGTCTTTCTTGTTCTTTAGCAGTGTATTGTTTTGTTAAGGATATGTTTTTTATATTTTTGCTGGAAATCCAAACAATGCTCCAAAACCTGCTATTCGGAATGTTTATTCTAGAAGAGGACGTGTGTAATGAATGGCATTTATGCCTTGCAGTATTTAATTTAGGAATAGTGTGGATGGGCAGTTATACTTTGTAGTGAATGGCTGTTACTTCATATGACAGTTATGCTTTGTAATGTTTAATTTACGATTGGGGTGTAAGTGGACAGTCATGGTTATATATGCAAGTTTTAGAACAGCGGATATTCTCTGCAGGAGACGTGAGTCTTCAGGACAATAATGTGCTGTAATGTGTAGTCCGGGTCTATCATACATCAAATTGTGGAAACCAACTGGAGAAACACTCACTTGAGACAAGTTGGCGTTAGTGGCTTGGTTCAGGGGATATACTTTGAAAATCCTTATCAAGAATTGATAGAACTGAAACAAGAGGGAAATATTGGTGAGTTTAATGAGATCTTTGAATTTCTTTCTGACTAAGTTGATATGTTAGAAGAATAATATTTTAAGGTATTTTTTGGGTGGTTTATGGCTTAACCTCAAGTATAGAGTCCATACATTCAAGCCTAAATTTTGGTACCAAGTAATATAGCTAGCAAGAGATTTGGAGGCGGAGAAAGTCACATTAGCAACTATGAGCAATATTTCATATTGGAAGAGGAAAACAATTGTTAAGATGAAGTTCTAGGGATCAAGAGCCAAGAAAAAAATCATGCTAGCAGAGAAGAATCAAAATATGTTGGAAGGACCAAGAAAAGAATCGAGAACAGTGACACAAGAAGAAATTGAAGGAGATGGGTCATCAATAGTGGTGGAGTTCTGGACCTCAAGCATCTTGACTTAGCTTTCCTCACTGGACTACATTACTCATGCAGTGTTTGAAAGTTGAAACAACTCTAATGATAAAGATGAGGATGGCAAAGATTGTTATCCTGTAACTCCAAGGCAGAAGTGTGACTCTTGAGATGATAGAAAGGGGAGGACGGGAATCCCAAAAAACTCAGTACTCTTGCAGAGGCAACGATGCTCTGTTTCAGTGCTAAAAATACAACAGAAACAAATCATTGCGAGATATTGGAGGCACCCAATTGTTTGTGTTTTTGACCTTGGAGGATTGAAAGTTTTGGACTGGAGTGGTCTAGTTGGCTTAGTCATCATGCTTCACTCATTTGGAAAACTAGTGGGACTTTATTTAAGTAGCTACAAGTTGTTCATTTTGAGGATCAATACAGATTACGGTATCGTTTTAGTAATAATACAGGGACTGCATGTTTTGGCCTTTTGCAATTACAGCAAATTAAATAAAATCAAGTGAAAAGGAAAAAGGATTTAATTTAAAGATTGAATTGGAAAATACAGTTGAGAATCAAATTAAGGCAAAAGCAAAAATTAAAATTGGGAAAATTCAAGATTAAGAAAAGCTTCCAGAATTAAGGAGTTTCAAACTTAGACTTCCTATTAACCTAATCCTCTTATTTCAATGTTCTCATTGATTCTGTTTGAAGGCTAATTAACCAAAGGTAGTCTACATTCTCTTTCAGGACATGAGAATTTACCCCTACTTTTTTGATGGCTATGTTCAATTAAACCCATTATCTTCTTTGTTAATTTGTTTTTTAGGATTAATTCAACTGTACGTCCTTACCTTATAGGTCCAATGTGTTAGGTTTACCTTTCAGTCCTTTCCTAAGTACTTCAAGTTATGAAAACAGTAGCTAAGCGTTGCATATAAATATCTTGAGAAAGTTGTTGTCAGGAGATTGATGAAACAGTCTTTGATAAGGGATTTCATTGAATAGATGAAGGAAATCTGTTGATTAAATATATACTATTAATGAATGCATGATACCAAAACTTGAGAGGTGGAGATGCCTGAGCGAGTAAAGTGTCCAAGTTCTACAATATGCCAATGCTTCTTCTCAACTACACCATTTTGATGGTGAGTGTGAGGACAAATAATCCTTTGATTAACTCCAAGCTTATTTTAACTTCTAAAACTTGAGCATCTATAGCAAGTATAATTTGTCGCTTGATGATGATTGGAAATTTTTTTCCCTATTAAATTAGAGGCAGTTGTTCAAATTGATGTTTTTATACTGACTTAATTAATATTGCTTCTTAGGTTGAGCACATTTTCAATGACCGGTTAGTACCCATTGTCCATGTTGACATCCATGAAGTCAAGGTATACTGTGAGTAGTAAGTTTTTTTTTTTTTTTTTAATGTTGATACACAATAGTGTTGATTATTAATTATTATACATTAAAGTGATGGAACAGTAAGATGTCATACTTAATGATATGGATTAGCTTCAATAATCAGTAGTTTCTCTAGTGGATCTTTCCAAGTCTTTAAGTAGTGTGATGTTGCCCTTCCTCTCCCAAGTTGTATGAACAGGTCTTGGTATGTGACAAGACTTCATTTGTATTTCACATGAAATCTCATATGAAATGAAATCACTAGTTCAGTTCTGTTTTATGCTTTTATATATTTGAACTAGTTTGTGCAGCAAAGAAGGAACACCTTAAATAGTTAATAATATTAGGAACATGTGGATATGGAGAAGAGTTAACAAATTAGTTATTTAACTCATTCTCCGGAGATATAGATCGCTGGATGAAGTAATTCATAAAGAGCATGTGCTACCCATACGCAATTTCTTATTCCTAGCTTGGTTACAATTCATTAGTGGAGTAATCAAGGGGGCAATTAGGAGTTAATTAGAAGATAACTTAGAGCCTAGTAATCAGTAGCTAACTTGTAGCCTAACACAAGCTAATCAACATATTTATGGTTGGCTATAAACTATAACATGAATTATTGAATGATAAAATTTAATATTCTAACACGGTCTCTCAATATGAAGCTATTGAGCTTTCAGCCTGTACAAATAAGCCCAGCCAAACACGCTTTGCAAACATCATCTGATTATATCAAAGTACACTCACACATAATACACTGTAGCGTAGTAATCTGTTGGTTCTTAGTTTTGTTTGCTTTCTGGTTGTAATGTGTAAGGATCAGATTTCTGTATGTTTTGTGTTTTGATTTTATTACTGATACAACCATTTCTGTTGGACAACCATTAGAGGTGTATGTTAGGAGGAATTGAAGGTAGACTCAGTAGGGCAATTGTGTAACGGCCTAATGGGTGTGGCAGTTATCTGAGTTGATTTTATTTGTTATAGGGCATTTTTAATTTGTGGTGGAAGTTATTTGGGGAATATGGATATAGGAAAGTAGAGCATTTAGAGAGGGTACGAGTGGATCATTGTTTTTAGGACAGTAGCTTGTGTTAGCAATACTACAGATTCTGGTTTAATTCTAGAATTGTTGTTGTCAATAAATTTGTGCTCTTTGTTCTGCAAGCTCTCGAGTCTAACTGTTACTTCAATCACTTTCATGTAAGTAATTGTTGAATCAACAATTAGTTACAAGTTAACCCCTATGTAATATCTTCATAATGCAATGCAATTTTTCTGATCTCGTTCAACTCAAACTCTCTTCTGAATTTCTAACAAACATAATCAAATAAATGGAGAGTAGTTGTCAATAAATGTACCAAAATATGTTGACCCAAAAGTGGACAAATGTAACTAAACCACAAACATCAAAATGAACTAAAGTAAAGGTAGAGGCAGCTTGACTGTTTACTCAATTGAAAAACAACCTACAATGTTGATGTAAATGATAGAATTTAGTAAAGGTTTTCTGTATTGAAATGCAAAATTGTAGTACAGATATAAGCTTCAACTTACAAGAAATATTTATAGTGCAGAAGGTCAACAAGACTAAATGAGACAGTTATATTGTCTTGCAACTAACTAACTGATGCTACTTGAAAACATAAAACACTGATTAGGACAGCTACAGAAAACAGAAATAACTGAACACAAAAGAGCCAACATTGAGAAGAGTATTCTCTCACATACAGGTCCAAATATTTTCATTCTCTCCTAGATGACAACTTTTACCTGAAGAAAAGAACTGGAGCACTCTATTCTTTACAAAAAGCTCAGTCATTTAGCATCGTGCATGAAGAAAACAAATAATGTTTTACTTCCTAGGCTCACAGAGAGTAACAGTTCTCTGTTCATTTAAATATAAATGATTAAAAGGTGACCTTATCTCCTGCTTCTAACTGCAATCTTGTTTTGGTATTGAAACAATAAAGTTGAAATTATGACTACTATAAAAACTGTGATTAAATTATACTTCATTGGATGAATATCAATTGAACCTATTCATGATGAGATTACCAATGTTCACTCTTTGGCCTGAGGTTTGCTTTCCGTATCTGATAATACATTCATATTTTCCTGCCTCCAGATGACTGCAATAGTGTTTTTTGTTTTTTAATTCTAATGCATCAAGCATTACTTGCAGGAAGCTCGTAAACGTTTTGATAAAGCCTCCCTTGTATATGACCAGGTGCATCTCATTTTCCTAAGAAGGTTACACAGTGTGATGCACTCTTCATCCATAGATTTTCTTTTCTTCGCTTCTGCTACATGTGTTTAGTTACATGACATAAACAATTGACTAAATAAGAAGCACAAGTGCTTCTCTTGTTAACTCATACCAGGAGTATGATTATCAATATGATTTAGTTTTCACAATTCACAGTTCAATCAATGCTTGTATTGTCTATATGCTTCCTAGTCAATGAATTATCACCATGAATAGGTTCAATGGATTTATAATTTGAATTCTCCAGTTCACTTGTTGAATTTTTATGTTGATGCATCAAAATTTGATTTTTGAGGGAGTAAGAGTTCAGGTTTTAATGTCAAGATTGATCTTTCAGTTATTCTCATTTGATAGAACCTTGAAGTAGTAGCATTTTTTTTGGCATAATCGATTTTTAACACAATTCCTGGAGACTACATTCAAAAAGTACTTGCATTTTAATTGGTGAAGTACATATCAAAATTTCAAATTGAGTTTGCAGTACTTTTGAAGGAGCATGATGCATGAGTTTGTGTGTATGTAGTGCTGTGGAAAGTTCACTTACATATCTCTTGATCATAACCTGCAAGCAATGTGGATTTTGTGCTACAGGCACGTGAAAAGTTTATGTCACTAAGAAAAAGCACTAGGATTGACATTGCCACTGTCATAGAAGAGGTATTTCCAGCAGCTTTTCTTTGGCATGTTTGTTTCGGAACTTAGTCAAATAGCTTTTCATGAGTCAATATGATCCTTTTTGAATCTAATTTGGTATAGAGACATTCCAGGAATTGCAGGATGCAAGAGCATCATTTGAGGAAGCCCGTTTCAATCTGGTAATTTAAGTTGCATAAGAGATTATACTTAGAAAATAAAAGATGTATATCATTAGGGATTAACCACATGACATTTAATCATCTAGGTTGGCACTCTTAATAACATTGAGGTCAAAAAGAGATTTGAGTTTTTAGAGGCTATGGCTGGAATTATGGATGCTCATCTTCGACACTTTCAACAGGTGTATGGCATAATCACATATATGGAACTTTCTACATATGCAATATTGCACTTATGCTGTATCTGAAATTTCTTCTCTTGCAGGGGTATCAGCTACTACATCAGATGGAACCTTTCATTAGTGAGGTTTTACTATTAGTTCCCTATTTTTTTTATTATAATTTGACTACTGACAGTACACATAGTTCTTTCCACAGATAAATACATGTCATTTTGTTTTTGATTTTTCTAAAACTAAAAACCAAGGGTGATCAACCAGCCAAGAGTCCAAGACACATTGTTAATGTATCTACTATCTGACTATTAGGTTAATTTAACACATTTGGAATTGTTAGGATAGTGTACTTCCTCAAAAGTCAAAACTCAACCTTGAATAATTGGTAGAGTCAGTCATCCAGATGTGAAACCCACCAATTAACCAGAGTGACACATTTACTTTCAAGTATAGAACAAAAATTTTGGTTTCAAATTAAGATTAGTGTTCCTGATCTATTGACTGAATAGTAGACTTTCTGTCCTGTATGCTGTATCTGGGGTGCCTTTTTTATTCTTGTAGAAATAATTTTCAATGGTTTAATTAAAAATGATTTGCTACAATTTTGTGGCTACAATGAGAAATTATAAGGCCTAATAGTCCTTCCTGTGAGGCATGATATTGATCCAAGGGTGGGCATCACTAACTGTCATTGAAAAAAGTGAACCTTTTTCTTAACTTGATTCATAAGAGGAAGGGATAGAGTGCCAAAATATTTGACTCAGCTATGTTGCAGGTTATGGATTATGTACATCAGTCGAGAGAAAGTTACAATAAGGAGCAAATTTCACTTTATAAAAGAATGCAAGACTATAAAAGACACGTTTACGAAGAAAGTAGGTTGTCCTTGAATGGTCCTTATGGTTCCCCTAGTAGAGACTCTGCACATCCATTTTCTAGGATATCAAATGAAGTGGCAGATGTAGTTATGGAATCTGCTGCAAACGGAAAGGTAAAGAAAACAATGTTTTCCTCTTGCTATGAGTATGAGATTATGTATTACTTTATTTCACAACTTCTCAAACCAGGTTTTGTTACTGGCAAATATTTTGAGTCCTGAGTCTTGTCCATTGTCATTTATTCATTATGTGTGCAAATTTAGGTTCAAATCATTCGACAAGGATACCTTTCAAAACGATCCTCCAATTTGAGAGGTGACTGGAAAAGAAGGTATTTTGTTCTTGACAGTCGAGGAATGTTGTATTACTACCGCAAACCATGGAGTGGATCACATGTAAGTCACCAACTAAAACTCAAATTTTAATGCAATAACCTAGGTAATGCTCATTCTTCTAAATAAATGCTGAGCATCCCGTTTCAGGGCAGCAATCAACCATCTCCAAAGAGGATTAGTGGCGATGGTTCTGGGCTTCTGAGTCGATGGCTTTCTTCTCATTACCATGGGGGTGTCCATGATGAAGCACGTCATACAGTAAACCTGCTGACATCAACAATCAAGGTTGATGCTGATCAGTCAGATTTAAGATTCTGCTTCAGGATTATTTCTCCATCAAAGAACTATACATTGCAGGTACTTGCTCCAAAACTTCATCAGTTTATAGTTTGGGCATTTATTATTCCTTACAACAATAATGAGGGAAGCAATGCAGGCAGAAAATGCAGTGGACCAAATGGATTGGATGGAAAAGATAAATGGAGTAATTGCCTCCTTGTTGAGTGTCCAGACATTGGGAATGGTACGTAGTAGATATTTTATTTTAAGTGCATCTTCTGATGCCCATATCAATTTTGATTACTATAATTGTAAAACAATTGTGACAGCCTTTCTCAGCTGACTCAGAAAACGATGACTCTCACTCTGACGACAATATTGATAAGTTAGGAAGTTCCCCAGATGGTGAACACACTGGGACCATAAAGTCTTCATCCAAGAATTCCAGCCCTAATCAGTTACGTTCGTTTAGAAGTTTGCAGTTGCATAAGCACAGTATAAGAATTGAAAAGCCAATTGATGCTCTTAGAAAGGTGAGTGGGAATGACAAATGTGCTGATTGTGGTAAACCTGAACCAGACTGGGCATCCCTAAACCTTGGCATCCTTATATGCATCGAATGTTCTGGTGTTCATCGAAATCTTGGTGTACATATATCAAAAGTAAGTCTTTGAAGTCACACATTTAATCTTGCAATTTAATGTTGTATATGGTTCGTGTCTTATCAATTTTACCAAAATAAAAGCTATAGACAGGGTTAGAGGATCTGGTATCTACTACCTCAAAGCCCTCGCTTCTAGGTAACAATGGCTACACTTAAAAATATAAATTAATTAAATTATTGTTGTGCATCGGGGAGTTTTCACACACATCTTCACAATGGCAAGATATTGTTTGTTTTGGACTTAAGTCTTCACGATTTTCCTTTTGGACATCACCCAAAAGGTTTCTTAAAATGGAGACAATTGTGTGTATATAAATCCATGTCCATTTTCTTGTTTAAATGATGTGTGACTTTGTTTGCATTCTAACAATCCTCTCCTCAAACAAAGGACCATGGTTTACCCTCCCTTACAACGAATGCTATCAATTCATGAATATATCTAATGGTGGCTCATAGAGTTTAGTCACACTCTAAGTACTATCCTCTACAGATGGAGGGAAGACTCTCCTCAACACATGAACCTACCACTTGGAAGACTTTCGATATAAGGGATCTTATACCCGAATCCACTAGTCAACTCTATCATACTTGTTGAATTGGTTACCTGGTTGACCATTGGCTCTAATACCACTTGTGCACCGAGGGGTTTTCACACACACACATATCTTCACAATGGTAATGTATTGTCCGCTTTGGGCTTAAATTCTTACGGTTTTGCTTTTGAACATCATTCAAAATGCCTTTTACCAATAAAGACAATTTTGTGTATATAAACTCATATTCATCCTCTTGTTTAAACGAAGTGGAACTTTGTTTGCATCCCAACAATTATATATTTAAAGTTTAATTGTCAATATATATATGGAGAATGATAATAGTAGTAAGTGCATGTGGACAGAATTCTTTTGAACTAAATTATTTCTTTAAGGTTCGCATCTAACAAGTCCCAAAACCACAAAATGTCGAGACAAATTAACTATAGTTAACCAATCTAAAATAAATTAGAGTACGCAAATAAGTAAAAAATGCATACACATAACTCATATAGGGAATATATCAAATGAGGACTTTTGGTTATGGTGAGAAATAAGGACAATAAAATTCAAATGTACGATTGCTTGCCTCATATATATATATATATATATATATATATGGAATCAAATTAGAGATGAGAATGTAAGAGAGAATCACTACCATAAATTCAAATGAATGACTGAGATTAAAACTAATTAAAGCAATGTTGATCATTCATGTATGGTTGGTCTAGTCAAGATTTACTCTTTTCACCTTCTGAGCTCTAATTAGATATGCCTTATACATATAGTGATAGGATCATTTTATGAGAATGAGAAGAGTAAACCTGGACCATACAGTCATACATGCATGATCAAAATTTAATCTCATGTGATTACTTAAAAAAGTCATGTGACTTTTTGAAAAAATTCACATAACTTGTGTTTTAATCTTAATCACTCATGGTAAGATCTAATGATTAATATTTATTTCTCATTCTCACATTATAATCCCCTCACACACACATATGGGAAGAGATAAACTTACTTTAGGAGTAAGTTTTTGACATTTACTCCCCTTAATTAACTTTTTATTGAATACAAAATTTACAAATTCAATTGTTGAATCATGTGATATCCATCTTGAATCTTGATGATTATGCATGTCAAACCTTAGATAAATTGATCTTTCATAGGTATATTCTATCAAAATAAAGTTATTGATGAAATAGCAAGTAATTTTTAAATTATATAAAAATGGTTGGATTAATGAAATCCAATGTTTATAAAAAGTTATTAAATGTTAAACAAGACTTGCTCTTGAAGTGGATCCTTAAAGGTGTGTGTGTTTGTGTATGTATGTATGAATGAATTTTACAATATTAATTTATCATTGTGCGACTACCAATGCAAACAATACAAAACAAACAGCATTGTAAATTGACAATCATCCAAAACCTGTAGCAATTGTACCAATTGTTTGTAGAATTATTTTTAGTATCCAAGTCTAACATTACTTTCTTCTTCTTTTTCCTCTCATTTGTGTTCCCCTTTTTCAACATTATCATTTTTCAAAATGATTTTTTTATCAGTAAAGGGGAAAACAAGATCTTTTTGTTTTATTTTAATTCTTACTTTTGCAGCTAAGTTGGGAAACATTTTTGTCAGGTAAGATCACTGACACTTGATGTCAAAGTCTGGGATCCCTCTATCATAAGTATGTTTAAGTCATTAGGAAATCTTTTTGCAAACTCAGTTTGGGAGGAGCAACTGCATTCACCAAGTAATTTGCAAACTGTTGACACCCGTGCTGGGTAAGTACTGCTAAAATTGATGGCATTGTGTTTGAACTTATGCTAATAAGCATTTACAATGTAGTTCATCCATGGAAAATGGAGAGGAGCTATTTCATGCAAGAAAACCAAAACATGACGATTCTATTTCATTAAAGGAAAGGTTCATTCATGCTAAGGTAAGGTATTCTAAGAAAGTTTCAAGTTTCATTTGCAATTTCCTGTTTAGAAAGATGGTAGAAGCTTGAATCCCTCAAATTTGTGAAGTAAAGAATTCTTAGCCTATATTTTACTACTTAGAATAACAATAAGTAAATGTATTCTATTTAAGTACCTAAAAAGTTTGACATGCTTATAATCTCTTAATAACTAGGCGATTTAGAAATGTATCCTTGATTGTTTGTTTTTATGATATTGACTTTTATTGGATGTTGAAAGTTGGGATCCAATATTCCAATGTGGTGAACTCTACAACATAAATGATTTGTTGATTTTCATCCTTTTGGTCAAGTTTAGGAGTTTAGATTTGCTTACTTGTTTTTCACCCAAAAAAAGAACTTAATAGAATGACCAGATAAGATTAACAGCTTTACAAGTGTCTCCATTTTCTATCTTAGATTTCTCAAACTCTATTGCATAAGTCTCAACTCTTGTATCACGGTGTCCCTTGTTAAGCCCCTATAGTAGGTGAAGAGGGTAGCATGTTTGGTAACTGTTGTTTTAGCGAAATAATCATATTTTTTCAAAAGCTTTCTTGGAAAGCTGATATAAAAATAAATCACTTTTAAAAAAAATAAGCTAATCTGACACACACAACAAATGCTTGAAAGTAGACAATTTATTCTTTAGTAGTGCATTTTATACATCTTCCAATTTGTTCCTCTCTCTTTTTTCTATAACTAGAAAAAAAAATGGGTGGGTTTGGATAATTCTAGTACAATTACTTTTGAAAGAATGAGTTCTATGTTTAGACAGATAACTCCACAATAATCTGTGATATTCAAATGAATTTTTTTTGGATACCAAGTATTATTAATTTGGGTTAGGGCCTAACTCATACTTAAAAATCAGCTTGTAAAGTGAGAATTGTCCCCCACTTATATACTAAATCTTATTCTTATTTTTAGTCGATATGAAACTCAAATTTTTTCTAATGCTGATTTTAAAATTGCTTTGAAGTTGTTACATAAGTACAAAACAGAAAGAAATAGTTTTAATGATTAACCATAAATTATCTCGTTGTTTTGTTTATGGTTTTTTATTGCATTGATTATATTTAACTCTGGGGCATTTAGGGTCATGTTTTACCTAAACCCTTTGGGATGATAGGGACTTGGGTATTATGGGATGCCTAAGTCCCACATTGAGTAATATGGGATGCTTGGTTGAATATTTAAGTGTTTGGTTCTCCTTCCTTAACAACTAGCTTTTATCGGAGGGTATCCCAAGTGCTTGAAGGCTTATTAACTAGTATCACCATACTCTGATCCTGGAGCTGTGTGGTTGTGAACATGATTATTAAATTTGAAGGAAAGATGATTATTAAATTTGAAGGAAAGATGATTCCAAGATTTGATGAGACGGAGGCTATCTTTGGTTTGGATAGTACTCTGAGAGAAGACACTCTCAGTTGGTGATTTTCTTGGAAGAAGAACATCCAAAATTTGACATTTTTCCCCTTAGAGAAGGATGTGCTCAAGCTGTTCCAACCAGAGCTTGGAGTTTATCTTTAGTATTCAGAACCTGAAGAGAAAGAAAACAATGGCAGAGATGAAATTCAGGAGGAGAGCCAAGAACCAATGGAGCATAGAGCAAAAGCAGATGAAAAGCAGCAAGAAAAGATAACAGGAGATGAAACTGATGACAAAAGGCAACAAGGAAAGAATCATGGCAGCAGAGAAGAATTTGAAATGGTGGATGGACAAAGAAAAAGAGACTTAAGATGGGGAAATCTTTAGCTTCAAAGACGACTAGAATTTGTAGTTTCTTAGTATGGAGCACACCTCATACAAGAAAGGCAAATAGAAATGACAGAATGAGGAATGGGTCCAAGAAATCAACAAAGAACATTGCTAGGAGAAAAGAGAGAAAGAATCAAATAGGACAATTGCAAAGAATGCTGCAAAAATGGGTTTTTTTTTTTAGGGTAGTCTCAACATCAATGGTTGTTGTGTTGGTGATGACATACATACAATAGTGTTGACATTGAAAAGGGCAGAATCAACAACAAGAAAAGGGTGGGTCTTGAATAGGCCAGATGCCCCACCACCACCAACTGAAGCAACAGACTCGATCTTGGTTGGAGGCAAATGGGACATCGGTGATGATGAAGCTATGAACATCATAAGTTGTAGTTTCACATACTCAAGGTCCAAGCATGACTCATGAAGAAAAAGAATCAGGGACAATGTAAAAAATACAGAAATGGACCCATCTTTTAACTTAGTCATGGCTCAAATTGTTGGGAAGAAGGAATGGGCTTCTCAAAAATGTAAAGTGGGCTTGAGCATGACGGAAGGATTTCCTTCCCTTAGGCTTCAAGGTACCTGCAACTACTTTTGAACCTACGTCGAAGAGTAGTATGTAAATGATACAGGAGCAAAGCCAAGAGGAACAAGAAAAATGGTGGTAAAAGGGCTAAAGGCTAATTTTAAATAGAAAGCAAGTTGGAACATCACTAATTTCTGCAATTCAGCAAGCAATTGGTCAACTTTGTTTTTTTGGGAGTGAACACGAGTGAGATTTAAATTTATAAAACTACCCAAATTGCTTCAATGCATAGTAGTTGAGTCTGGATATAATTTGTGTATCGGAAAGCCTAATTTCCATATCATGAAGCGAATTGTATCAGGAATCATAAGATTCATAATCAATAAAAACATAACATATTTGAACATAAAAAACGTAAAAAAATGAAATCATACATAGATACATAGTAGCTTATAAGCTTCAATACAAAATACAAATAATAACAGCCTCAAGGCCAAGAGAAGTGGCTGCTTGCACAGTTCAGCAAAGAGCCTCCCAAAAATCAGTGTTGTTCCTTCAATTCCTTTTATTTAACAATTTAAACTTATATGACATTTCAATTTTTCAAGAGAATTGGTAAATTAAGGTAAAAAAGAAAACAATAATGAATCATATGAATTGTATCGATGATACAAAATCGTATAAATTCATTCATGTATCGTAAGATACAAAATCATTTTAGAATCATCTTAAGATACATATCGGTAGGTTGTCAAATTGTATCAAATCGTAAGATTCTAATCGTGAATCGTAAGATTCAAATAACTATGCTTTAATGCACCTGCTGCAAAATTACCCAAGCCCCAAGTGCAAGCTATGGTATGGTATTCTCTTTCAGCCTATTTTTGGTGTCAATTACGAAATACTAGGTGAGGATTTCAAGAAGCTTCTTGTTCCTTTTTATTGTCTTGGTGGGGATTTTGATGGGATTTGGCCGCAAGTGATAATTAGAAGGTTCTTATTTGACCCTTGTGGGATTCACTTGGAAGTTAAAGGTTAGTGGTCAAGCAAAATCTCAAATTCAAAACAAGAAACAGGATCTAATCCATGTTTTTTTCCTATTGAACATGAAAAGTTGGCGTAGAGTAGACTAAGGCCAGTCATCGTTGGATTCCTGATCCAAAGAGTGGTGGTGTCTTGCGCCAACAAGATTGGTGCACATGGAAGGGAACTGTTGAAGTTCCAATAACAAGCTACAAGATCTTCCAACTTTTTCAAAGGAGAAAACACGCAAAACTATGAGTCAAGTGATGCAGCTGTCACAACAACGGAAAAAATGACGCTGCTGTTATGTTTGGCAGTAAAGATATTGCGGCTAGTTTGGTGGTTGTACTTGGAACTTATGTGGTGTCCACGGTAATTAGTACACAATTCACCGAAGTTTACAAAGAAGGAGTTATCGTAGCTACTTTGATATTGCCTCACCTCTCCATAATCTCCACACACAAATCAACCTTGGACGGTTTTCGTTAGATAACTACAGTATTACACACCACAAAAAAGTGGGACTCAAGGTGTGTTTGGGAAAGCTATAAAAATTATATTATTTCAATAATCGATTATATGTATAATCGATTATTGTTACAATCGATCATAATCATAATAGATTTTTGTTTGGGTAAATTTGCTGAAAAGTGATTTTGAGATATTTAATTTTGTTTGGATATAACAAAAAATCAGCTTTTATGTAGTAAATCAGTTGTAGGAGGAAAAAAACTGTTGAAAAATAATCACAATCTTCAAATTTTCATACTAAAGAAAATAGCTTATATTTCACAAAATAATATATATATATATATATATAAATAACTGTTTACAATAAGTTGTCCCAAACAACCAACATTTTTTTGCAAACAGCTTTTCCTTTCAAACATTAGTTGAAAGGAAAGGAAAGGAAAAAAGCTTTCCCAAATATGCTCCCTGTGGAAGAAAAATGGTTAAACCCATCACCTTGAGGCAAAGTGAAACATCAGGGGAAGAGTATTGGTAGGTAACCCCTGGTTAGTTAGTTAGTTAATGAGTTACTGAGTCATGTGGGTGATGGTGTATATAAGTAGGAAGAGGGGTTAAGAAGGGAGTCATTCATTCTTGGGGAAATAATAGGAAGTGTATTTGATTCAGTGCAGTGGCTGGACAGAGGAAATTAATAAAAGCCTTTTGGTTTTCTTGAGTGTTCTTCACTTTTTTTCTTTTTTTTTCTCTTATACCAGTTGATTCTATCATGGGACTGGGACTACTTGGTTTCAGATCAAATCCCAACCAAGCCAATTTAACTACTCTTTAGTCAATCATCCACATTTTCCAACAATGCAAAATGACATTTGAATTCCTAGCTGCATTTTGATATAGGTATAAAAAAATGCATATATTGAATATTTGGTAACTAAATTTCTTATTTAACCTTGGATAAGTATACTTTTTCTCCCTTCATAAATAACCTCTAGCATTTAATAATGGCAATCTTATTCTTGAAGTATTATTTGTCGGAAGTTTAATATATGGGAGATAGAACTTAACAGTTTCTTATTGCAGTATTCTGAGAAAATATTTATTCACCGGACAAAGAAAAACCACCCTCCCCGTTCACTGGCACAGCAGGTGCAGGAAAGCATCTGTGCCAATGACAACAAAGCAGTGTACCAGCATATTGTCAAGTCGGATGTTGACATCAATGCCATCAGTTGTCAACCATTGTCTGGTATGTCTTATTCAATAAGTCTCAACTCAGCAATGTTTTTGGTATCGAAAAACCAGGAAGTAATGATATGCTGTGCAGGTAACTCTTTCAACCTGGCTTCTTCAAGTAATTTAAACATTGCATCTCAAAGTGAAAATCAGCTCTTTAATGGTTCTGGCGTGCTTCACCTAGCATGCCTAACTTGTGACGTTGGCATGGTGGATCTGCTCCTACAGCATGGAGCAGATATAAATGCTTGTGATTCTAAAGGTCGGACACCACTACATTATTGTATTATTGGAGGGAAGACCGCAACTGCAAAAGTTCTCATCATGAGGTAATTAATGGGAAGTTTCCTTATATTTCCCAAACACTTTCAATCATTGTATTTTGTAGTTATGTTTGGTTAATTTTTTCCATGAACACTAGTATAGGAATAAAAAAAATAAGAAGGTAAAATAAATTAAGATTCTCTTGTAAGTTAAAATCGACTTATCTAATTTAGCTTATGAAAAAAACTCAATTCATTATACTATTATCTTATTTTGTTCTCTTACAAGTGTTTATGAAGAAATTTATTAATAGATCTTATATCCTAAATTCACTTTATAGTCATCAAAGGATCGATTACACATTTACACTGCCTATGGGGAGGAAGATACCAAACCTGTAGTGATACTAAGCATTATCCACCACTTCATATGTGATTGGTTCTACATGTATGAAATTTGAATGTATATTATAATATTCTTCCACTTCTGTTCACAGTAAGTTGATACCCCTTAAAATGATTAGTTTTACACTTATTTCCATCAATTCTGCGTATTGGCGTCATAATAGTGCTTAGAAGCATAAACTAAACACAATTCATTAAGTGATGGCATTTGCTGGAGTTATAAGGTGGTCCAGGTGGTTTGGGGGGAGGGACATAGGGTTGGAGTGATAAGGAGGGTGTGGGTTCGAATCCCCCCACTAACAAAAAAACTAACAATTAACAACTAACATTTGCCTATCAAAAAAAAAAGTGATGGCATTTGCTCATAGAAAAAGTAACACCATTTTATTATTTTGCTTGGGTGGCCGAGGGGAGCACAGAGAAAGAGAGT